CTACTACTACTACTACTACTACTACTACTGCTACTGCTACTACTACTACTACTACTGCACAAACTACTACTAGTCCTACTACTGCCACGACGACCATCCTCCCGCCAATTATTCCAACCACCTCAATCGTTTGGTTGCAGTCCCGGTCCGCGCTTATTCCTAATGATTGGGGGGGGTAGGGGGGGAGGGGGGGGGGAGGGGGGTGGGTTATAAATCAAAACAACACATTACTGATCTTCAGAACCTGGTACTGGCACCGTTATCTGAAGATCTTCCCGGATGATCTTGCTTTGCCTGCTCCTGCCGAGCCATCATCGCCACCTCCTGAGCCAGCTGCTCCATCTGAACCAGCTACGCCGGCGCACTCGAGATCACCGCCACGTCACTGGGTGTGTTCAATCAATCCTCCCCCAACTCCTCGGCCTGAGTAAGTACCTATAGCATTAGAACACCCGTGCCTCCTCTCCCAAATTCAGATCGTCCATCTGCGGGCGGGGTAGTCCCGAAACGTCGGGGTTGGCCTTCGGACAACGTATCAATTGATTATCCGACCATAGAGGAATCGTTCGGTGAGCAACGGTCAGGTGTGGAAGAAAGGGGTATACTAATATTAGCGGTTGAACCACTGAAGAGTGGCGGGTTTTTCCCCAACAACAGGAAGCGGCTACAGAAAGCAGCGCGGATCCAGCATCCTCATCGTCAGCGGTGCATGTGACATCGCCTTCGACTCCGCCTAATGGACCCGGGAGTCTGCACGACGCACTGGACGAACACCTCCGGGTACGATATTCGATCTGTCCCTGCAGTTTATATCAAGGACGCGGTCGTATCGATTGTGGTGTGCGCTGCTGGCGCCTGAGGTTTCTGTGAAATATTACGATGACAAGGGATACATCTGCCAAGAAGTTCGCGATACCATCACATGTTCTGGGAGGGCGTAGAGCTCAAGCCTCGGGGAAATATCGAGCTGCGCGAGCGAGCGCTCCAGAAGATTCGCCGTTGATGAAATAGCATTGGCAACCATTGTCAGTCTCAACGTTGTGTGCTGCGGCATGTTGCTTTGTGCTGCACCCTGGGGTGGATGCATTGGGTTAAGGTTGCGGTTTCTAAGCCTTTAGTTCTTTCACGGGATTGTGGTGTTGGCACATGTCTGCACTCCGCCTCTCAAACTAGTTCGGATGCTGCCCCGTATTTTGCCACTTAGTTCTGCATCCCAGTGTGACCCACATAACTTGTGATCCCTATCTGAACATTGTGAAATCGGCATTCTGCCACAGACAGTGGTAACAACGGCGTCCTCACACGATAAGGGCTGAGCCACTGCAGGTATCGTCCTTGTCTGCTTCCGATGAAGCAGCAGCCTTGCAGCCACCGGATGTGTCATGTGGTTTGTCGGTCGTACCCTCAAATAAGCAAAGTACCGAGGGCTTCTAGTCCTTAACATAGCAACAAAGCCTAAGCACATGTATGCGTGCGAGGTTGCAAAGTGTAAGATGACAGCACCAGCCGGTAATCCCGTAACATACGGACCAACACAGGAAGTCCACCTGCATAAGCATCAACAACTGGGTCTCATTGTACCAAGGGTTGATCCACAGGTCCATCCCAAGCCCGAAGCTTTGGCGCAAGTGTTGAGAACCAAGCCGTGGCAGATGTTTCCAAAGTTCAGCAACAGGCTCACAGTCATGTTCAAGCGGTGGCCGCCAGCATGGAGAGTCAAGCCCAAAACCGGGTTGAAGCCATTGAGCAACAACATCGCAAGCTATAGCTTCAGAAGTATCCGTTGAAGCTTCAAGGCAATTAGCTGTGGCGGATGAGACCATGGTTAATCGCTTCCCCTAACATTAAACCGCGCCCTAATATAAAAACTCCCGGCCCCCGGAATTTCGCGGTTTCGGGCCCACAATTGAATTTCAATTAAAAACAATAGGGGGGCTAGGATTGTGTGAGTTTTAATAGAGCCAAAGATTACAGCTGTACTAAAGACAGTAGAGCTTTAGGGTTTAAGGGTTTATAGGGCTCAGGGCTAAAGCTTTAGGGCTTGGGGCGTTGGGCTTGGGGCTTTAGGGCTTCAAGTTTCGGGCTCAGGGCTTTATGGAGCCAAAGATTACAGCAGTACTAAAAACACCAAAACTTTAGGGTTTAAGGGTTTAGGGCTCAAGGCTAAAAGCTTTAGGGCTTGGGGCTTTGGGGCTTAAAGTTCAGGGCTCAGGGCTTTATGGTTTGGGGCTCGAGGTCAACCCCACTTCATACGTGGATGCACCGAACCGAAACCCCCCCTAGTTTAAAAACTAAACCTTCCAAATCCAGTTTTAATATCAGGGGGGGAGGGGGGGGGAGGGGGGTGAGGGGCTCTGCGGCCCGTCATAATTAAGCTTGGATTGCATGCGGATTGGGGACATCATTGGGGCGTTATGTGTGGGACCTGAAAGGACAGCCTAAATTCAGCAACTAAGTAACACTTTCCCACATCGCAATTTCCCAAAAACTGTTCCTCACGCGCCTCTCACTTCGTTGTGCTGGTCCTCTCTTCTGACGGCTGGCCCGCATGTGTTCTTGGACTCGTCGCACCGCCCTCCATCTGTTGCTTGGCCGTAGGATCACTCGTCTCGGGCTGCGGCGGCTTCCCGACCTGGAGCTTGCTCTGTCGGAGGGGCGTCCCAGCTCCCCCCATGGCCAGTTAGCTTCCAAGTTTGCGCTCGTGTCCTCCGTGTGGTTCATCATCGCCTCCCCCTTGCTAGTGGGTGCGTGGTCCTCGTCTCGGTGCTTCTTGTCCTTCTTGCCTTTCTTCAGCTTCTTCTTGCCTTTCTTGTGTCGCCCCCCCTCAAGCTTTTACTTTGCTATGGCATTCTTGAACTTCTTGGATCTTCTTGGCAGCCGCGAGGAGCTCGGCTACTTTCCACGGGAACTTCCCCACACAGATCCGGCGCTCTGCCTCCATGCGACGATTGTATTTCCCCACCATAGCCACCAGCTTGTCTGCCCTCCTTGCCGTGTCACACCTTGCGCTGTGCAGCTGGATGTGGCGTTTGTAATCTTTGTCTTTGGCGTCCTCCTCGTTCAGTGGTTCCCCGGCTACGGGTCAATTCTTGTTCGAGTCGTCCAGTTATGGCGGATGGGCATGTTTATCCACCTGTCCAGCGGGTCCGGCTCATAAAGGAGAGCTACTGCAGCCCTCTCCGTTTCGAAGCCGACGCAATCTAAAGGGGGTTCGGCCTTTCCCTTTCCTTTGGGTCCATCTCGAGCTCCCCCCTCTGGCTCACGGGCGGAGTCAAACGCGGTGGCGGCGTCTCCCCCTCGACCTAAGTCGCAAGTCTCCCCGTGCTGGTAATGCTCCCTGTGGAGATAGTGTGTCGGGGCTGTGCGAAGAGCTTGCCATCGAGGAGGTCGCGAAGATCAACCCGGGGACCACAAGCAAGAAGTATGCTCCTTCCCCCTACTGGCGGGCCACCTTCCAGGGGCCGCAGTCAGGTTCCGGAGAAACCGAAGAGCTCTAGGTGGCGACGGGCATGGAGCTCAAGCACCACTGAATACACAAGACATGCAAGTCACAAGGACAGGCGGGTTCCCCAGCAAGTCAACAACCTTAGGAACAAATCTGCAACAGAGTCTACACAATCTCTTCCCCTAGGTGTCTGACGCCCCTCGGCCACAAGGGCCCCCCGTTGTTCACGGGGACTTTGGAGGAGAGTGAACGGCTGGCTGTTTCCCCCTGGTATGTCAGAAAGTATGTATTTATTTAGAACAAGCAGTTCACCAGGGATCAACAATCCACAGAGGATATGACTGCATCGTTCGGGGTACTATGTCAATTCATCAAGCACTGCACGGTAGCCCAACATTAAAAAGTGTGACGTTTCCCCCAATCTGCTGGCGTCATTTGCTACAATCCGACATGTATCGCCTAGAACTGACTGGCAATAACAAGATGTAAAGAAAAACGAACTACCGAGGTTTGGCTAATTGCAGCGAGGCCTGGTGGCAAGGACTCTACAAACAGCTACTTTCACGTGGCCAGCATCAAGCAAGCAGTTCTAGAACCTGAACACAACTAACAGAACGGTCACCGAGTGTGTCTGGCCTGTTCCACATCCCCTATTCTGCCGATGGTTGAATCCCCAGCCATAGCACACAGGCAACAGAGTTCCTAAGCGTGCCTGACTAGCTGCGTAGTACTCTACCAGTTGGCAGAATGCAGTACATGTATAGCTGGTAGCGTCTGTCTGTCGTGGACCCACCCTCCCTGAACTTTAGGCCCGCTTCCCGGCCTCATCCACGCGCTCTCTATAGCGAGGTCCTTAAGCCTACAACAGACAAATCTCCCAGTCTCTTTCTCTCTTTCTTTCTTTCGAAAGGGCTGGGGTGGGTGTTAACCCCCCACGACGCGCTAGTGCACCCCCGCCTGTAGCGGGGGCCATCGGGGGCCAGAAAAGTTGCAGGCAGTGCACACTCGAAGGCTTGGACAACCATAAAAAGGACGATCAAATGTAAGTCAGAAAAGAGAAACACCACTCTTCTTGGCCCACTGTGCGAACAAGTGCAAACCAAACAGCATGATTCAGCATGAACGAACATGTGCATAGCGACTGCGTGCGACAAGGCTGCTTCTGGGAAAGCGCTGAAAGACGCTGGTTACTGCAAATGTCAGCGGGAGTTGCCCCGGGCAAGTCGGACGGCATCCAAAGGTACAACCAAAGAACCATTCGTTGCACAGGGCATCCCCTGCCCAGCAATCGTGGGAGACACAGCTCCTCTGCAAAGAGTGGAGAAGACACAGGATGCCTGTTTGGGGTGGGGTTGGTTTCAAAGGCCCGTCTACTGGCCCAGGATACTCTTCCTGTCCCTTTCTCGTCTGCCGCTACTCCAAGCTCTGCCTTGACCGCACAAGCGATTGAACGAACAACGGCAGGCCAAACTGCAGGAGGCACCAGTCTTGCCGAGACAAGTGGGTTTCAAGGTTTCCATGACAAGAGCACACCGGGCTGAGGATGCCGAGGGACTCATCTCGTCCAACCCTATCGTTGTGCTCCAAGAGAAATGCATCACCTGGAAAGTTGAGAGGTGTTGTTGAGGGAGGAGTAGCATCCACCGCAAGTAAGATGTTCAGAACACATCATATTGCCCTAGCCTGACACAATATATATATATATATATATATATATATATATATTCTAAACCTCGCCCTCCAGCAGCGATTCACGCCTGCCCTGTACGTTGCTGCAAGAACAGACAGCCTGTTGCCAGCAGAGCTTTCCGCAGCTTCCAATGTGTGAACTTGTTGGAGAGGACCATGTACATTGCCTTCCACTTACCTGACAATTACACGGAGCGGCGAACGCGACATGTAAGACAAGCGAGACAACGATAAACGCGAAAAATCAGAACGCCTGTTCCTCAATCACAAGAAGCGAAATCAAGTCGAGTCTCGCCGCCTCAATCCTATGTAGGTCTTGAGAGTGAAGATAATTGTGCGTTGCTATCAAGCTGCTATTCGATCCGACTGTGATACGACCTAAATGGCATGTGCATGCAATTAAACCTCATTAAATCCGGCTTCATCTTTTGTGGAAACCATGTTAGGCGATCGTCGACCTCCTGTTCCACCCCTATCAAACACGGAGGAATCACTGAACAATCGCTACGTTTGAACAGGCAGTTCAAACTGACTTGCATCCTACTGAACTTTACTACGGTAGGACCTGCACTAGGAAAATATGGCCAGCATATACGTCTGCGCTTGTTCCCGCGCGTTTTGTCGTAACTAGCTCTTGATGTTGCCCCCGCCCCGAAACCTGGATCCACACGCTTGACTGGACTGCATGCTTCCGAAGAATTCTGAATGACTTGGTTGAACGTGTTCTCACGGCCTCCAGATGCCGCAACACCACATGCTGCGACATGGACATGTGATGGTGGAAGGCATCGAACAGAGCCGAGTGCTGTAACTTACTACTCAGACTACCGAGCAATTCACAGGACTGGAGACCCCAAATCCAAAAAGGAGTCGGCATGGTAAGCCAGATAAATGCAGGGGAAGTGGGCAAATTCTAAACTCACTGCGAAGCTTGCAAACCATATAATAGTTGCGCTACGATGGGAGTGGCGTCGACCGGACATGGACTTCCACGGCTCCAGCAGTCACATGCGGTGGGGAACACCATCAGCAGCAGGACAACCACTGGCGCTAGCCCGTGCACACGCCGACGACAGCACTCCCACAACAGCTACCACCACTAGTACGGACCTGCTCGATGGCTTTGTGATTCCTACTTCTCGATTGTCCTGTTTGTCAATCTTTGCCTAGTTCTTGAACTCCACCTGGATGCCTTTTCCCCGATTCCGGCTGAAAAAGTCTTCACTCTCGTAAGAAATGTGCCTCCAATCATGTCCGTCTGTCCGTCCGTATGTCTTTCTGTCTGTCCGTCGGTCTCTGTGTGTGCGTTGGCTTGTATGAGTCCGTATGTACCTCTAGACTTTTCACAAGACTATAGTGACTAGATGCTGAAGAGTGTTTTCGAATTGCTTGTCCCACGGAACCTATAGAACACACACACACACACACACGCACATACATGTGTGTGTATGTATATATATATATATATATACACATACACGCACGCGCACACATGCACACACACACACACACGCGTGGGCAGACAGTGAAAAGCTGCAAGTAAGCGCACAAGTGGTGGGCCAACGTGAGAACAAGAAAGCAACCCCAACATTATGGAGAATCGGCCGGACACTCAGCGTTGCGGGAGTTTGCCTCGACAGCTCTTGAGGGCGACATGGCGAAAGATGAACATTCACGTGGTGCAGGAGTCTTCCAGACGACAAACTGTGCGAATGGAGCATTTCCCCCAGGCAGCATGTTTTTCGAGTGTGACGGTGATTTGAGTCGGTGAACATGTATATTGCGTAGAGTACACGTACAACAACGGATCTCAGCAACACGTGATTGCTGTATCAACGTGCACACCGCTTGCGTCTCTCGGTACTGTAATTGGCACGCCTTCATTTCACGACCCACGCAAAGCTAACATGGTCCAGCGGAGTTGTTGCATACATTCTTAAAAGCAAAGCTGCTGCCATAACCACCGAGCTCAGCATCCTCGTGACCCAAGTAGTCCTCATAAGTACGTAACCGTTGAGAAGCCATGGTCGCGAGCTGCAGTTTGAAGGGCTGTTCATGGCTGTTGAACAGTTTGTGTTGGTCCCGTAGGTCATGCCTGTAGCAGTTCCTGCTCCGAACCGCAATGCGCCAATGCAGCTCCCTGGCAGCTTCAGTGTCAAAGCTTGATATCAGATATAACGCCAATGCCTGTAGCGCTATCATAAAACGCGTTCGCTTCTCCCCCAATTCGAATCTAGCCTTCGAGTCAGTTTCGCTTCCAAGAAGGATCTCCGAATCTCCACATGACCAGGGCAGTCTCGCCGCACGTTAATTACCCGTTAATTGGGGATCGAGAGCGGTTTGATCTCGCACGGGCGCTTCTAGGTTGAGTCTGAATCGCTTGCTATGCATGTGCAGACATGCCCCCGATCAGTCTCATGCCATGAAACCAGTGGCCAAAGTTCCGGGTAGTTGGGGGTGTGCCAAAGAACCCTGACATACTAGGTGGTGAGTAAGAATGAGCACCAGAGGCACGGAGCGCAGCTGGAATGCTTGCCAACCTTCCTTGGTGCAACTCGCAGCCTTCGAGGACCGCTACTTCTGCAAACCTAAACAGTATATTCGAGATCGTCAAGATCTGAATAGATCCACATGTCTGGGCTGGATCCCATACCTGACACTCATGGCACCCTCAAAATCTTTCGAGTTAGACATGCACTTTTAGAGCCTAACCTCTGGTCAGAGTCGTCCAAAAAAAGCGTTGCGACCTCCGACTGGCAAAACGGGCGGCATTTCTGGGCGTTGGGGCGAGTGGAGGTTTGCGCAAACAGCTAAACGAACTCCAACCCCAGAACGTGTTCTGACACGGCCCGATGACTGAAAGCCCATCGAGCCCAGTGACACATTGCGACAACTCGACCGCCTTGTCTGGAAACTTGCATGCTTGAAATGCGGCCTCAGCATTTCCTCAGTTCGATGAGCTGGTGAGTCGGTGTCAGAAAAACCGAACACTCAGCAGCACAGCATCGTACGGCTGCTTCACCCTTGTCTGTGTAGGAATCTATCGCACCTGCGCTGCTTGCACGAGGCGAACTTCGGTGCCAATCTTCAAAACCACATGAAGATGAAACATTGCTTGCATAATACCGTCGGGTCAGGCAAGTCACGGGTTACAGGAGACAAGAGCAAATGCCAGCAAAACTTTCCGGATGGTGCCAACTGTTCATTCGCGCTGCGAAAATCTGTACGGCATGCAGCAAGGCGCACTTGCACCCTGTCATTAAGCGTGCATGAGTACAAAACACTTTTGCGTGCCCAAGCAACTGAATCGCACCATCTTGTCTCGGATGCGCAGTTCGACAGGAGCAGGATAAAAGTTGCCAAGAAAAGCGCAGCCGCAGGCCTCGCAACGTCCGTGGCATGCAACCCCTTCAAGTTAGCCACCTTCAACATACTGCACCCGTCGGATGCTTGCAGCGTGCTCACCACAGAGTGTTCACCGAACTTCCTTGTAACCGTTTCAGAATGGTATAGGTCGGCTGCAGGTTACGCAACTTAAGCCGCAAGTCCACACAGCCTCGTCCCAGGCTTGGAATGCCCTCCACGCTGTTGAACTTCCGCCAAAAATCGTGTTTGATAGGCTTCGTTGACTACATTCGGGTGTGTCGTCACTTGGGTGATGGAGCAGGTAGTGGGGAAGGATGCCTGCCTGATTGAATTGGATCCGCATCGTGTACGACGCAGAATGAGTAGATACCACATTTCAACCCGTGAATCTCTCATGGTGTACCTTTGTGGGCTCATGCGGGCTCCGCTTCTAACGACGCACACCCTGTGAACCTAGTTCTCGATACCAGCGGCTCCGAACTTGGCGCCTGGTCCCAACTGGTTTCGTATCCTGGGAAGTAGAAGGCACCTTGATGGCAAACAGCGCTCGTCGCTTGTGCTGGCATGAACCGGCGCAGTGAAATGCCATTTGATGCAAAATGTAACATTTGCGAGCCGAAACCTGCATGGCATTGGTGGATGGAATTATCTAGCAGTTGCTGCGAGGCTCTGCACATTTGAAGCCCGGTGGTGCGATGCAGCGGTCTCGAAAGCCTGGGTAAGAACGCAGACAGGGCACAAAGCCCGACCCGCCGCGGCGTCTTCGTTACAGATAGCGGCCAGGTAAACTCCACAGGTCTGGGCTCCAGTTCCTCGGATCCAGAATCTTCATCACGATGCATGCAGTTAGACACATCCAGCGCCTCACAATGATTCGTCACAAGAATCTCAGGCTGCCGCCAGTGACTTCTCGCCTATGATCACGAGTTGAGTCATCAGGATCAAAAAGTCAAACAAATGAAGCATGTGCAGTGCCGCACAGAGCAGAACCGTCCGGAGGTGCACAATAACGCATGTCAGGTGGCCTCCAGTTCCGTTCCGACACGCTCTGCTGCAATAGCCAGGTTTGCCGTCATAGGTTGGCCTCCAAGCAAGAAGACCGCGAACCGCAAACCAGAACCGAACCGCCATGATTCGTCATGAAATACCTGCAAAACCGAACCCACAAACCGAACTGCTGTTCAAACCCCGGCTCCATCCATTCAACCAGCAAACCCCATCCGGTTCATCATGTCCCTCCCTCTACAGCACCTATGCTCCATCCATCCCACCGACAGCCCTGCCCCCGTCCAGTCACCCCCGTCCCTCCATCTAAATCTAGCCACCCACACCTCCATCCCACCCATCCTCCATCCTTCCATCCGCACCCTCCATTTGTCCGCCCATCCGACATTTCCCGCTCCGTGCACCATGCTCCATCCAGCAGCCCCCGTCCATCCACGCACTCCCCTCCGTCCACCCCCTCATCTCCCTTCCAACATGGTGGAGAGAGCGGGCTGGAGAATGGCATGGAGAGGGCTGGATGCGAGCGGTTTTCGGAACAGAAAACTGCCCAGAAGGGGGCGAATCGGAAACGGTTCAACACTCATCCCAAAAACCGAACGGAGTGCGGCTTTACTGTCCAAGCCGAAAACAACAGCGTCGCGGATGTGCAACAGACCTTGACTGTCACTTGGTTTTCAACACCACCACCACCACTACCACCACCACCACCACCACCACCACCACCACCACCACCACCACCACCACCACCACTACCACGACAACAACAAAAGCAGCAACAGTAATGACAGCAACAGCACCACCACCACCACGACAACAACAAAAGCAGCAACAGTAATGACAGCAACAGCACCACCACCACGACAACAACAAAAGCAGCAACAGTAATGACAGCAACAGCACCGGCATCAGCACCAGCAGCAGCAGCAGCAGTAACAGCAACAGCAACCGACACTAAGATCAAACAAGCAACCCCGACCCGCCAGCCGCCAGCCCACTCTGCCGTGACACAACATGCAGTCGATGCGCTCTCTGATTCTTGTTTTTCTACGACTCTACGAGGGATGCACAATCGAAATCCTGAGACTCTCGTTCTGAGAGTCTAGCATGGAACCTCATCAAACTTCCCGGAGACGAATGGGGCGGGGGTGGGCACATGAGAAATGCAAGCTAGTTCTACCCGGAGGCTATTCACACGTCGACTTCAACCCGCAGGTAACTCGAGCAGAAGGCTAGCGGCTAGCAGAACTAAATATGCAGCGGCAACTGTGAAACGAACACCGAGACGACTTATGTGCCCCGCTTCGTTCCGCACAGTTTAGCAACACAACCAAAACCAACACCAACATCCAACCAACAGCAACCACATGCAACCACCACAACCAAAACGAACACCAATACCAACACCAACACCACCGCCGCCGCCGCCGCCAGCACCACCGCCGCCGCCATCACCACCACCACCACCACCACCACCAGCACCCCCGCCGCCACCACCACCACCCCCACCACCACCCCCACCACCAGCACCCCCACCAGCACCAGCACCAGCACCACCATGTACTGCGACCACCATCGCCGCCAGCACACCACCGTCACAACCATTTTGGAAACACGGTCAGGTCCGGATGTCTCTGTAGAACGTTACGTAGCAAACGGAGTGGATGCACAAAACGGCACTTGCTCTTTTGCAAAGGGCCTGTGGCAGCCGGGTGCCTTGCAAGTCTTGTCGCCTGTCGAACCCGAAAGGCGGGACTCTGGCAGCATTCTGCTGGCCTCTACGCTCAAAGTGCAGTTCGCAATGTTGGCATGCATCAATTCCGCGCTGCCCAAACCTACGACAGATCGGCCGTGTGGTCTCCAGGCATCAGGTTTGTTTCTGCCTCACGCCCTGCCGAGGAGTATGGCAGCGGACAATTTCCAATGCGAAGACTGAACCACCAGGTGCAATCAAATCACACTCATGTCAAGCCTTCAAAATTCCTCAGACAGATCCGAGGCCGTCACGCTCCCGGCAGGACTTGCTGCAATATCCTGGCCAACCGTCGTGTGTTTGCCTGGCAGGCACGTGTCTCCAGTCTTCATGGACGGCTCTGCTGGCATGGAGAAAGAATGTCTGCTGTAACTACATGACTGTGCTGTGTCTGCTGGTGTTTCTGTATTTGATGGCCTGGCGCAGCCAAATGCCATACACGTCGGGGCTTCGAACACCAATGCAGCCTGAGTGACGCAGTACAGCTATGCGTTGAAGTTGTTTTCAAGTCTCGGTCTGTGCAAAGGTGCTGACTATCAGGCATGCAAGAATCACGTTATCACTACAAATCCGCTGAGGCCACAGGCCCAGGCGTCTTGGGGGTTACCTCAGGTACCCTCCCCCCCCCTCCCCCCCCCTCCCCCCCTCCTCCCCCCCACTCCTCCCCTTCCAGGCGGGAAAATGGCGTTTCCGCACTTGGGTATCAACAACCGTGTAAAGGTTGGGGTTGCATGTATACAACATCGACTGCCCTCTCGCCCTGCCGCTAAAGAGCCGAGGCGGGCGGCGTAGCGTTAAAATTATTGAGTCCAGTGTCCACGCTGCTTGCTATTCCCATCGCACTTTCCCTCACTGCTTCACCAGCATGGCAGACGGCAGAAGGGACCTCGTTGCAGGATCGCGCAAGTCAAGAAACAGTAGCTGCAACTGAGGACACGTATAGCCTATATAGCTACTAATCTTACTCATGACAAATTTACCGTGGCGAGGAAAGAGTGCTTCGGCAAATATTGGCGCGGATCCGCGGTCAATTCAACAAGACATCTGTTCGCCAATGTACCGGTCACGAAATGGGACTTACGAGGCAATCATTCTATCCTGCCAGCATGTCAGGGTTTGCAGTGCTTCGGAGCAGGACGCACTGGTGTACACGTACCCCGGTTGGTTCTTGATGCGCGAAGGCCAATTGTGGTTTTGCATGCACGGCGTACCAGCAATTTCGAGGCAGGCGTGAGGAAGGCAGGATGCATGTAGGCCTTGGCACTGAATCTACTAAAGCCCATCGACATGAGCACAGCCAAGTCAAGATGGAAGAAGTAACTACCGGGAAGGACTGGTTGGTGACGTGACAACCAACAGTCCAACCGGTAGCCGAAATTCAACAGAGTGGCTGCAAGCATTGCCTTTCCCACCTGCGGCGACAGCAAGACAGATCCAGTTTGTCTTCAGTTGAATATTGAGTGGCTTTCTGCTTCAAACTCAGAAGGAAAACGGCAACGCTGCAGGTGTCTGTCAGGGAGGTGGAGTAGCAGCAAAAGCTGCACCATGCTCGAGGCTTCCAGTTTCTATTCGCGGGTCTGCCTGTCTACAAAAGCACGGGCAATACATACTCTGCCTCGCTTGCATGTGGCGGCACCATGCAGTGGCTCGCAAGTCTCGAGCCGAAGGAAGGTGCAAGACCTGCTGGACACGGCAGCACCTTGAGTGCTGAACGTAAGTGTTCGGGCCTCTTCGAACTTCGAACCTGTTTTGCGCTCCACATACGGAGTGACCCGGTCATTTCAAAAAGCCTTGCCGAGCACTCGCTACGCTTGCCAATAAGCAAATTCGAAGGATCTCTGCAGATCCATGGACCAAACTCCAGCACGCATGAAGAGCTCTCAGAAGAGAACAAAGTACTGTTTTTTTTCATCGTCTTCGACCACGAACTCATCAGCGCCGCTGCTCCTAAGTGCAAGTCTCGAGTCGAAGTTGCGAAGGAGTCGCGCCGACCTAAGATAAATTCGGGAGGCGTTCCGTGAAACTGCAGTGCTCCGTAGCAGACAAGTACAGTGCGCGGCGTTGGAGCTGTCACTTGCTGAGATACACCCCTAGTTGGGTCAAACAGTCGCAGCACTATACAGGACAGGCTACAGTATCGAGACGTCGACAACCCTCATACTGGTACTTCTGCTGTCCTAAGGCGGCAACAGCAACATTCGTGAGGATGACGACATTGTCGTAACCGTTCGCTGTGGACCAGATCGAAGTTGAGTAGTGGCCGGCACCAAATTTCCCCCTGCAAATACAAAGCACGAGGCTATTCATCTTCCATACTTGAATTGCTCCGGCCTGTTGCCGGTATTTCTCGAGAGATGCTTGACTTCGAAACCATTCCTGATGATGCTGCAGGCACAACAGCCTCGGGCACATATAGATCTGGTACAGAGGGCAGCATGGTCATGTGTGGCTAAAAATGAGATTGGCCAGAAAGCAGCGAAGGGTCAGAATGTTTCATCGCTGGCAGTCGCTTCTGCTATGCGATTTATCGGTATAGCCTTTCAGAAAATCAATGATTCAATACTTCTGCATTGTCGCATGTTTTGAGCTGTAAACCTAAATGAACGACTGGGTCTTGAAGGTTGAGAGTCTCGAGGGCAACAAGCCAGTTGGCTGGGCATTGCTTCGACGAAGACGAACAGGACCGAATGTGAAAATCGAACCTGGTCAGCGATGCTGTTGGACAAGATTTCGGAGTCCAAATGTGTGCGAGCTTTGGTAGTTGGCAAGAACTCGTAAGTGTACCGACACCATATCACAATGGCACCAGCCACCATCGCCCGAACTACGTGAGGCAAACAGAAGGCTCGTAGACATCCTTTTAGCAACTTTAGCACGCCACATCACGCCACCTGCCTTGGTTTCGACAAGGCTCTCCATTGAACTCGCACAGTTGCCCTCAGCCGGTCACACTACAGCCAGGGTGTTGCGGCTACGGATAAAGACTTCTGCTTGCCAGGCAGCCTGCATGCATGTGCTGGCGACGGCGAGCATCAGGTGCAGTGCGGAAGCAGCCGTTGGTTTCCAAGGTTCCGGAAAATTCCGTTCACCGGGTCCCCAAGAACATTGCCGATTGTATGGCATTTCCTGATCAATGGATTTCCCGTCAATAAATAACTTTCACCGCAAGCACATTAAGCCCAATCTGTGAAGATCGCAGTCTAATCGGCTTGCGCAAACCAGAAAAGCTGAGAAGGGCTACGAGTACGAGCGGGTCCTGATGAATCTTTGAAGCACCTCAGCCACCACCTTGGCCGAAATCCATGCAAACAGGATGGGCCTAACCTCATAGAGAAAGCACCTGGGGGCAACTGAGACGGGTAGGGCAAAACCTGCTACCATAGTCGGACGGCGGAATCAGGTAGTGGCTCCAGCTCAACAGCGGTAGGACTTCTGTGCAAGCCGAATGGATCTTGTAGATGGCCCGTGGTGAGAAAGGAGGTACGCGCCTGTCATCTGAAGAACTCAGAGCATACCGTTGGACATGGCACGAGTTGCCTTCAGGGATCTAAAGCCGTGCATGATCTTCCCCGCTGCTGCTCGTGCGGAAATACTGCGAACTTGCTTGCAGATGCAATCTATAAGCTCTACCCACCTCCTTGTGATCCCGACCATCCGCATGAGTGTCGCACCGCTCCCCACAATCGGCACAGATGTAGGAGGGCATGGATGCTTTCCCGGATCCGCGATTGAAAGCCGACACTGGCAACGGCTCTGGACAAGTAATCGCTCACGCTGCAGATGCTCCAACGGTATCTTGTTCCACTTGGCAGGAACAGCAATTGGAAATGGCAGACTGAACCCGAAGCGAACGAATGCTCACTTAGATCTGAAGAGATAAGCGTCACACGCGGCTCCTGAGCGAGGTCAACAAGCTTTGACAAACAAATCCACTTCACGCGACGCTCACTTTTCGTGTAGGTTACCAGCCAGGGCTCGCCCTCGGTCAAGCAACAGTCAAGCCGGGGTCAGCTGCCCGTGGCAGATCTAGCTAAATGTGGCCGTCTACCTCAATCCGGAACGTCGCTTGTCATCGAGGCAAGCTCGAGACAAGCGTCCACTGAAGATGTGGTGCGATTTTCGGCCACGATCTAGAACATAGTGGGCACAGCAAAGTCGAACTGCCTTGACAAAACGGCATGCTTGAAACTTTAGTTGATGGTATTGGCATTTCTATCAGCTGATGAACCGCGGCAGTCTTCGTTGCAGTGTCATGCATTAATTATTGGTGACTCAGACATCTTGAAGCAAGGGCTGTCGAGGAGCAGGAGTAAATGACGCGATTCTACTGCGCATGCTACTTCACAATCTAACCATAGCCCCAAGGGCAAATATTCGTACAAGTGCGACGAGAAAGGCGGGTCCTAGAGTCCGTCCAATCAGTAGTCAGCAGTCCATCGGAATCACGAATCTCTCGGACTTGTGTTACATGTGTTGATTGTGAGCATCCACGCTGCCGTTCAATAAAACTCGAGGGTGAGCAGGATCGCTTTACGCGCTGTACTGCAGCAAAAGCCTATGATCCGATCCCCACGACGACTCTGGCCGTGCGCATGCATCGCCCCATGAACCCTTTTGAAACACATGCACCAAGGCAACCCACTGACGAGCTTTCGCTGAACTTTCGCATGATTGCCGACATTGCCGCTAGATTTGGAACACTTCGAGATGCCATGGAAGAAGACACGTCGGGGGAGATTGATGCACATATCCATGTTTAGGTCCAGCACTTCGCAGGTAGCTTCAGTGTCTGCATCCCCAATCAAACATAGAGCTGCACTGCGCGCTCAGTTAGCAGGTCTGGCTTGACCGCTCAGGTCTTTTACCTGCACATCGGACACTTGTCCGATTGTTCATGCAGACTTAGGAGTTGTGCTGAGTCTTTGGCCTCCAATACTTTCACTTGGCGAGGCGATCGGATGCACCATTCGGATCGCGTGCTTCTGGAGGTACCTTGGTATTGAGCACGGATCTGGTCCTCATGGCAGTCCATCGATCCCCAGACCAGGGTCAAAAGAACAGTATCCAACAACGAACACATATAGGTACGGATGTTCGCTGGTAGAGGGGTCACTTGTGACTTCTATTGTCTCACTTGTGACTCCTATTTTGTTTCGCTTGTGACTTCTCACTTCCTGACCTTGAGAAATCCTGCGTTTCCATGGGCTTTGGACTCCCTCCCTCCCTCCCTCCACCTTCTGGTACCAAACTAGCCGAAACAGGCGGATGTTGAACCAGAATCGCCAAATGAGGGAGCAAGTTTCAGATAGATGATGAGGTAGCAACGCCAACTGAGGGGGCCAGTTTAAGATATATGATGGACCGGAATCGGCGAATGGGGAGGGGTGTTTAGGAACCGGCATCGCTAAACGAGGGGGAGCGTTTAAGATAGATGATGAAGCAGCATGGCTAAATGACGGGGCGTGTTGTAAGTTAGATGATGAACCGGAATCGCCAAATGAGGGGGCGTGGTTAAGGTATATCTTGAACCGGAATCGCCATATGAGGGGGCCCGTTTAAGAATATGTTGAACCGGAATCGCTAAATGAGGGGGCATGTTTAAGATAGATAGGCCGGGATCGCCAAATCAGGGGGCGTGTTTAGAATAGATGATGAAGTAGCATCGCTCAACGAGGGGACGTCTTTAAAACAGATGTTGAACCGAAATCGCCAAAGGAGGGGGCGCGTTTAAAACTATGGGGAACCGGAATCGCCAAAAAAGGGGGCGTGTTCAAGACGGATGTTGAACCGGAGTCGCCAAATGAGGGGGCGTGTTTAAGATAGATGTTGAACCGGAATCGTCCAATGAGAGGGCGTGCTGCATCACCAAATGAGGGCGCGTGTTGAAGATATATCTTGAACCGGAATCGGCCAATGGGGAGGGGTGTTTAAGATATATGGAGAACCGGCATCGCCAAACGAGGGGGCGTGTTTAAGATAGATGATGAAGTAGCATCGCCAAATAAGGGGGCGTGCTTAAGATATATATGTATATATTATATTGACCCGGATTGACCAAATGGCGGGTCGTGAACATATTTATGAGGAACCGGCATCGTCAAACGAGGGAGCGCGGCCGTGTTTAAGATATATGGTTAACCAATGTTAACCACAAACGCCAAATGAGAGGGGCGTGCTTAAGATACACGATAATAAACCGGACGCGCCAAACGAGGCGGCGTGTTTCTGAAAGCCCGTTTAAGAACATGAGGAACCGGAATCCCCAAATGAAGGGTTATGTTTATAAGACATATATGAAGAACCGGCATCACAAGTGATCTTCGCCGACAGGGGTTGCAAATTCTTCTGTCAGAGAAGTCACAAGGCGGAGAAGTCACAAGTGATTCGAAGCACTTTTGCCGAGACATGCTGCAAATTCGTGTGTTGAGAAGTCACAAGTGAGCCAAAATAGAAGTCACAAGTGAGCCGGTCACAAGTGAAACAAAATAGAAGTCACAAGTGGGCGGCCAACCGGTTCACTCGATCGGCATCCAAACCGAAGCAGAGACAGCAAGGTGGTGTGAATCAGCATGCTCGAAACATTCGTGGCGCACAAGCAGCAGTGTCGGCCGCAGTTTGGGCATGTTCAACACGAGCCAAGGTAAGAGGCCGGCGCGATGCTCTGCAGCCGTCGAACGGGCGACCTGTAGCCTAGTCGCTGCAGCATGGTGAGAGATGATGCTGCAAGCTGATCACTCATCGAAAATATGTTCATGCTGAGCAATTGGAGGTAAAGCCACCAGCTCGAAGTACTGGTTGCTGCTGATGCTGCACTGCTACTCTGTCCGAACAGTTTTTCCAAGAAACATCTCTTTCATCTTGCCAGGTCTTGTGGTCACCATCGACCATTTTGGCGTTCCGAACGAGGGCGGAGAGCCTGGCATGTTCATGTTCGACCAAGTTTAGCAAAACCTTCATCAAACAACAGAGCTGCAGTTCGTGTGGGGCTCGCGCGAGATCAAGCATGGCCGGCCGCCCCGCTCCGCGGCCCGATCGTGAGCAAAGCGAGCTGCCTGATCGCTGCACAGCAGAAGGCCAACAGGGCACGCAACCAAAGCGTGAGCATGCGAAGCGTCTTTCCGTCCCTGCTACCTGCCAGTTCAGCCTAGCCTTGTTCTGATCTTCCGTCACATAGACCCCTGAGCCGAGGCAGTGGTCGGCGGAGCTGACGAGAAACCCCTCGCGAGGGATGCAAGGCTGGAAAGCCGAAAGTCTCTGGTGCGATTCTTGAACCTCCTCAGCGATGAAGTCTGCCGCATCCGATGTTGTGCCATGCCATGCCTCGTAAGGATACACGACCGCATCTGCGAGCTGGGCGCAGCCAACAGCTTCGAGTCTCATCGTACATATGCCTCCGCCTGAACAAAATCTTCGTACTTGTAAGAGTGGCACTGACAGACCCCTACCGACGGAGTATTTTACAGCAGAAAGGCAAGTGACCCAATCGCCACCACCTCCAATCACTGAGCCACACTGGACGATTAGACATGTGCAGCCTATGTTTGGAGATTCCGCACTGGCACTCTCCGTAGCTTTGCGCACAGTACTTCCCCGCAGCCGACACTTTTCCGGCTCCTCGTGCTTCTCTTCCAGCACAGTCTCCATCAGTTCTCACAATCACGCACCGGGGGCGTGCCCGGCTCACCATTGTCTTTTATTGCGCCCGGAGCGTCTTTCCGACGTCTTGCGGTTCAGCACGCAGTCTGGATGTTGTAGAATGGTGGTGCTGCACGTGACCTACCTTGCCTGATCTCCTTATCCTGGCCGAGCATTAAGTGTGCAGACTACTTGCTTCTTGTCGGGGGATTTACAGCTCGCCTCAGCTTGCCTGCAAGTTCGCTTCGTGAGCAGGAAAAATGTGCAAACACAGACCGATCATTGGCCGATGACTGCAGACTGCATGGTGGCGCAGCCTTGATTTTGGTGACGTTTTCGTCACACCTCGCACTGGCATGTCACGACTTGCTTGCCAAGTGGAGCAGGCTGGTCAGAACATCACTATCTTTCGAGCTGTCTAGAGCTCCGGCTCCTTCAGTCCGATGTCTAACTCTGCCGATTTTTGAGGCAACCGGCGGTACCGACTCGTCGTCTGCATCTTCCCCGTCCACCTACGTTACTTGCTTCGACACACTCGATTCCGCAAGCATGCTGCAAGACAACGTCTGTCTGTAGGTGTTGCAGGCTGTAAGCCTCCGGGTTTCGTGCAGCGGCCTGTAGAGATGACTTCAGACCTCGATTGGATTGGCAGCATACAGCTCGCAATGTCCTAATAGCACGGCTCTTTGTGGCTCTCGTTCGAGTTGATTTGAAAGCTCCTTGTACAACGGCGACCGTAGCAAATCAGATCTGACGGACGCATTCTCAAGCGTTCATCTTGTCGCCTAGACGCAGTTTCTGTTGAGATTCTGCTGGCCGTCTGCTGATGTGCACCAACAACCACGTCAGTCTCATGATGGTTTGCCTCAGTGTCATCGTCACCACTAGCAAAAAGTTTTGCCACCACAACCCTTTGCTGCCACAAATCACCACCGTCGTTGCAGACATTAGAAAGGCGGTAGCTCAGGACACAGACTTGTACAAAATCACGTATGGTCGCAGCCAACGCAGGTCGCGGTCGCGGTCGCATTGTCGTGTTATCACCATGCTCGTTGTTATGTCAGTCGCATTTTCATCATTCCTGGATATGGTTAAACGTCACAGCATAAGAAAAAGCGGTACTGACTGACGTGCGCACACACACACACACGACCATGTACTTGACGCATGTGGTGTCGCCGGTTTTCACATCTTCGAACCATTGCCCTGCCATGCCTTTGCAATGCAGAAGACTAGGAGCAACACAGCAGAATATGTACCGTCATTAACTTGGTCGAGACGATGCAACAAAGGTTAAGGGCTTTTTCAGGCGGCAAGGGCAGGTACATCGACCGGCTATTGGGGAGACGAATTACGAACTGTGTTGTCCATCTGTTGCCAGTGGCACTGGTGTAGCTAAGGCCGGGGTGTTCTGTAGCATATTCTGAAACTGTTGCATGCTAAGCCAGATCTTCTAACCAGCCACTTGTGAAATCTTGTGAATACTGGAAGTACTGATTCACACCTTCAAAGTAAGGACTCACATTTTGAAGCGACACAGGTATCCTGAATCATCGTAATTGCTAGACTATACTAGAATCATCAGGGGTCGTGGACTGGAAACTGTCGGCAACAGTCGTAGCGTTCGAAGCAACTTGAACGGCCTTCGGTGAATGAGGAACACGCTCGAAGCTGCAGCCCGAAGCAGTCGTTTTGACCGATGCGATTTTCGGACTGGATACAACATTTGACCGAACTCTGTCAGAAGCCATGTGGAACCGGCGAAAAAATCACTCAGAAACCTTCCCTGCAACTAACGACCTAAAGCAAGAAAAAGTCAACATCAATGTCACATTCACCTTGTGCGGCCCGTGTCTCGGAACCTTTCTGCAGACAGCTTACCAAGAGAGACTCATTGCAGATGTTGGGTGTGATGTCAGACGAAACCATCCAGCAATATCAGGTCATTGCGGAAGTCAAGTCGACAGGGCCTCCTTTGAGGGACACAGCGCCCTGAGGGAGGGCATTAACATGTGCCCACAACTTGTGGGCACACTTGCAACATTTGGTGTCGCCGGTCTTCATATCTTCGAAACTTTGTAGGATTTCCGACTGAAGCCCCGTTGCCATACCCCTGCAATGCAGAACCTAAACGCAGAATCGCAGAACATGCACGCAGATGTAGACCAGACAAAGCAGCACAAATTAAGGGTACTTCGGGAGGCCGATGCAGGGGGGTCGTCCCTGGGTCGTCCCGGCGTCCCAGGATACCACCATGCTGAAGGGTGTCTTCCCAAAGTAGTGTTTCAGCAAAAGAGCTGTGTTGAATAACCAAGGTGCAGGACGAGCAGAACCAAGAAAACTAGGCCCCGAATGGCCCTGCAGCTCCAGAATAAGCAAAGGAAATCTCAGCTGAGCTGAAGGCTGTTGCGGCAGGATTTAGTGCAGAAGCCCGGCTGTCCATCAAAGGTGGACCTGGCATCGGATACGTTTAAACGACACTGCTACGTCAGTGTCGACCTCTTGCAACACGCCCTGGTGCTCCCGCGAGGCAACATGGGGAAGGATGCCTTTGGCATCCAGGCGTGCTGCACACCGCGGTCGCGGCCACCTTCTCTCAAATGCTTACAGCCCAGGCCCTTTGAGCCTTCGACATGCACCCAAACAGCAGTTAACAGCCGGTGCTTGGAGGCCCCCCCCGACTGCACCAGTGAGGCTTGTAACCGGCTCTGCAATGTGCGGCCAATGCCAGGGAGCACAAACTAATTCGAAATGAGCTTGAAACACGATTGCAGGGAGAGATTGAGAAATGAGAGCAGACAAACAACTACACGCTAGATTGCGAATGTGTAGCTTGAATATCTACAGAAACTCTAAGCCAGAGCTCAGCGACAGCTGCACGACACGACAAGCACGAATGCAACACCAAGAAGAAAAGGCACAGCCTTAATTTCAACTGCAAAGGTTTGAACAAAACTATGGATCCATCTCCTTTACACCGAAGCGCTCGAAACCGCAAAATTCTCGCAACCCACCCTGCGAAAATCTTGAGTCAGATGCTCCCAATCCGCTACTGACCAGTCGCTGTGTCCCTGAGCCCTCGTCACACAAAACCTATCTCAAAGAAGTGCACTTCAACTAACCAGCCAGCTCGCTAATTCTGTGACTCCATTTCCCAGTCTTTCATAACTCTCGGTTGCCATAAAGAGCTTAGAGAACCACTCTCCGACAGCTGTCAAGTGTGTTTTAGAATCAGTTCCTGTGTGGCTCGATCAATCTGACAGATCTGCTTTCTTCCTTAAAGGCAGCCGACACCAGTTCTTCCCGATGACAACAACCATCACCGTCACTAGACGACCGACTACTCATACGAGGGACCATGCTGATCTTACATAGTGGAAGCAATTGCACGGTAGCATGCCAGGGCTTGGAGTTGTGCCTGCGGACGTGCACTGATCTGGCCTCACTTGCTCCAGCATTTGTGTTCATGCTACAGCTGCTGGAAGGCAACATTGCCAGCATGTGCGAAGTCACATCTGCGGCTGCTGATGCTGAGTCAATCCGGCATGTGCGATGTGGCATAGAACCATGGGAAAAGCTAGGAATTGAGGTCTGGTCTGCTTTTGCAGCGCTTGCTGCAGTAGCCAGGTTTGCCGTCGTATGTTGGCCTCACACAGATTTGGGATGTCTGCTATTTACACCTAACTGATAAGAGAGTACACATGCGGCCATCCCCGTGCCCAGGACGCGACATGATCTCCCAACAGCCTGTTGCAGTTCGGAGCTTGGCAGCTGTTTGCCGGAGCGCCCTGGACGAGACGGCCTAGGAGCGTCGTGACCTTGGCATCAGACTTCGAGATAATAATGGCGAAGACAGACCGAAGCGATATGAAGAAGGCTCCATTGCTGCCAAAACGAGGGCTCACTAAGCGTGTTGTCCGAGGGGGCTGCGGATACTGGCTTCTGACCTGGGCTTCTGGAAGCAGTTCGCAACCAGGCCCGAATGGCAAAGGGGCGTGGTTCGGTGGGTGAAAAAAGTCGTGGCTCGCCGATTGGATGGTTCTTGCTTCTGCATCTGTTTGCCACAGACCCTTCATGGAAGGTACTCAGTATTTTCTAGACGAGATGAGAACGAGCACCAACAACAAGGAACTTCACTCTTGGCAAGCCTTCTGTTCCGCGAAGACACAATGAAGTACCACAGGAAGAAACTGTATCCGAGATGCAATGTCTGGAACAAGGGATGCATTTCTTCATGCCTTGCTAGCCATTCATTCCTCGTGGCAAGTACCGCTGACCTGAAAAGCAACGCCCTGCTTGAAATTCCGCGAGTGCGAGACGGTGGTGGAGTGGCGCTAAACGAGCAGGGAATCGAGTGGTAATAGCAGTAGTAGCAGTAGTATTAGCAGTAGCAGTAGCAGTAGAAGCAGTAGCAGTAGTAGTAGTAGTAGTAGTAGTAGTAGTAGTAGCAGAAGTAATAGTAGTAGTAGTAGTAGTAGTAGTAGTAGCAGAAGTAGTAGTAGTAGTAGTAGTAGTAGTAGTAGTAGTAGCAGTAGTAGCAGTAGTAGCAGTAGTAGCTAGTAGTAGGAGTAGTAGTAGTAGTAGCAGTAGTAGTAGTAGTAGTAGTAGTAGCAGTAGTAGTAGTAGTAGTAGCAGTAGTAGCAGTAGTAGCAGTAGTAGCAGTAGTAGTAGTAGTAGTAGTAGTAGTAGTAGTAGTAGTAGTAGTAGTAACAATAAAAATAGCATAATACTGAAAATAGCAATATTACTCGAAGTACGTGTAAGTAATACAAAAAGAAGCTTGTAGCAGTAGCAGGAGCATCGCCAAGACAATGATCATAGCGATATTGGAACCGGAAAACACACACACATACGCCAAGGGCAACGACAACGGCGAGAAACACAGCATCACCATCAGCAGCACCAACACCAGCACCAGCATCAACAACATGAGACAAACGATAGTGGCAAGCCCCCACGATTCCTCTTCTGGATGTCAACAGACTGGGGTAGAACCGGTGGAACACCGGCATATCAGAATCCCTTCTAAAAATAGGTACCACTCGACCTGATGTGCAAAAAGCCACTGCAACAGGCCCCTTGGGGGCCAAAACCCAAAAATTCAGACGTTTGCAGGCACGAAACATAGCGGTCGGCGGTTGGGAGCCTGAAGTTGCGAGGGCCAAGAACACGAACCGTAACGAGATAAAGAGCTTTCGCAGAAACAACGTACGACAAAGCAGCAGCCACTAACAACACATGTGACAGCACCAACTCTGCTAGTATCAGATCAGTAACCCCGACAGAACAAGCAGAGCAAGCATAATCGAGTTCACATTATCACCACAAGCACCAAGACCGCAGGCCAGGAGCAACACCATGCATGGATACCACTGAGAGGAGCTCTGTCCCGGCATGTTTTGGAGCAGAAGCTCCCAGGTTGCCCATCGAAGCTTGGCCTGGAAAGCGAGGTCCACTCATTCCATGACTCAGGGTCCATCTATAAGTTCAACAGTCTGCAAGCCCTGCAGCTCAGCCGGTGGCCTGCCACACTTGGGTGCTATGCAAACAGCCATGGCTGTGTGATGGGAATCCTTCGCTGGCTACCCAACGGGCCTGCCGCTTGCGGAAACAGAGCCTGAAACTTCAAGCAGCGTCACTCACCTGACTTTGCCAACGTGAAACGAATCGAACACATTGAACACCGGCCATGTCCCCGACGATTCAAAACGATCTGAACTTTTCTAGAGTGTACCCTCCTCATTTCTGCAGAACAGGAACTCGACCTCACACCCTGCCTGCACAGATCCACGCCGATCCAACAATGACAATTGCTTTCAGGCTCATCATCGATCCGCCCGCCCTGACGTTCTCAAGTGTTGATCTGTGCTGAGACGACGCATTTGGGGTCGAGCTCGACCGACGACGACTGCTTCGAAGATCGGATCCGGCGCTACAGGCAGCAAGATCATTGCCACTCTGTTTTGGACTTCTGCCATTCACCTATGTCAATCATCTATGGAACTAGCTCAGCCTCGTGTGGAGGTACCTGAAGCTGTCAAGTGCTGTGCCTTCTGGTTTCTAGAATCATCCCCATGGCTTAATCATCACTCCAAACACAATGCCTACATACAGCAGCCAAAACTGCGAACCAGGCACAACGACTTTCGGACAATAATATTTGCAAACAGAGTCGAGGCATCGCACCAAGAGTTCGTTCAAGGCATTCCGGCCTATTTAGAATTCCCGAATAACACCACTTTAGGATATGGTTCTGGATACGGGTCTGAATACGGGTCGGAATCAGGTTCCAGATGTCCAAGCGCAGGCTCAGGCCCAAAACTCAAGCAAACTACGGGTCGGAATACCATATTCCAGCCGTTTTTCTTGTGTTCTGGGACCCACCTCGTATTGATCGAATCGCAGGGGCTGGCCGGAGCAGCGCAGCAAACAGTGTTTTGGGCCTAAGCCCGCACCTGGGCCTCTGTAGCCGTACTCCGATCCGTAGCCCGTACTCCAACCCATAACTTGCTGGGGGCTTGGGCCTGAACCCGTGCCTGGCCTCGGGAACCGTATTCCAACCCGTATTGCAACCCGTATTCGGGCTCGTATTTCCCTGGGTTTTGGGCCCGAGCCTGTGTCTCTGGAACCGTATTCCGACCCTTTTTCCAACCGGGGTCGGGATATGGGCTGGAACCCGAAATTGCCTGACCTCGCCCTGCCCTGCAACACCCCTTCCACCAAACCTGCCCTGCCGTGCCCAACCGTAACCCTATTGACCGTATTCAAAGCCATTCAAAACCGTATTCTGTCCAACCGAATTCGTATTCCCAACTATAGTCTCCAGGGTATTAAGACCGTATTTGGAACCGTATTCGTACTCCAACCCATATTCCCGATTCGTATTCGAAACATACCCTCACCCATCCGTTTCGGGAAGGCCCCTCGAGAATACATTAACCGCGGGGTGTGGTCTGCCTGGGGTCCTATAAGGGAAAGAGTAATGTATATTTCAGAAGGGTTTGCCACGGTCGGAAATGTTCGGAAACTCCCATGCCCATGCTACTCTGACTCTTGTTGTGCACTACATTCGGAAATGGTCGTTGAGGCTTCGGGTTGGTTCTGGGATTTCAGCTATATTCTGTATAGGATTTGCCTATCTTCTTAAGGCTGCGACTGTTTTTGCCGCCACACAAACTTCCCCGACCCAACTCCAGAATACATTGACCCACCCGTTGTGTGAAGTCAGGGTACCCTCCAGAATACATTGTTAGGTGGGGTTAGTTCGAAACGTATCTGAACCCATATACGAAAATTACACCGGATATCCTGGATTCGGGCCGGTGGCTGACATGTGACACACGAACTCTTGGGCATAGAAGGAGTGAGGCAAAACTGTACTCACCCTGCAAAGAGCCAAGCTAAAAGGATTTCGTGGATTGCTTCGGCGGGTCCGAAATGAGGCTGCAGTCACTCTGGCAACGCTCTACTTGTCATAGGCCACCAAAACAGCGCGGAGCGAAAGCTGTTATCAAGTCTCAATTTTCACGTTTAAGAGCATAGCTGCAGCCTCATTTCTGAAGAACTCATGCTGCAAGACCCCGTCGATATCCAATCTTTTGGTAGCATCTTTGTGCCTCAGAAAGCAAACTAAATCCTGCAGGTTTTTAGGCCATGCTTCCGAATTGGGAACGTTTCGTGGATCAAGGACTCGAAAGCCTTCACTGATCTTCAAATGCTTTCTGCCAAGAAGTGCTTTCCATGTCTGCCCGAGGCTGTACATGTCGCACTTTTTATAGTCCGCGCCGGGATCTTGCCGCTGCAACTCGGGTGCCATGTAGCAAAGGGTACCCACGAAGCGAGTTTTCGTCTCCTCCGATGGCTTTATGGTACCGAAATCAGACAGGAGCACATGCGGCTCTCCTGATTTGAAGTTCAACAGGAAGTTGGACGGCTTGATGTCTCTATGAACGAGCCCTTTCAGATGCACGTGCTGCAGAGAACTGCCCATCTGCAACATCACGGGCTTCGATTTACGAAGCCATGCATCTGTTAGACGCCGTCCCTCGCTCTCGCTTGTCTGAAGCACCCACTGCTCCAATGTCGTTTCTGCTTCTTCCATCAGGATCCCAAAGTCGTTCTTTGCATAGCAAAGGCTTCCAACCCGAATTTCCTGGTGACGCATCCGGAACCAGCCGTATGTCTTCACGATGTGGTCGTGATTTAGCTCCATCGCCCGTTCAGCCTCGTTTTTGTGGCGATTCTCGTACATAGGCTGGTTGTGAAGCAACTTCAGAGCATATTTGCCTTGGTATTTCCCGAACTTGGGTTCCATCACCTCAACGCTCACCACCGTGCCACAACCTCGACAGTGCAGTTCAACCCACACTTTCCGAAGACACAATATCTTTCGCGACAGGAGGTCTGTTTGCACGGGGCAGCGCTTGCTGCGGGGAAGCCCAAATTCTCAAGAAGCGGAACCTGTGTACAGTCTAGACAAGTGTGAACGGCCTCCAGTTCCAAGCATCTTGCAAATCTTCAGCTTGCGAAAGTTTGCACTGTCTGTGATGATCACGTCCTGGTTTTGTGTCGATCGCGGTCTCCTCAGTCTAACATGGGTCTGCAGCTGAAGCTGGGCCTAACACCTGCAGTCATACGTGGTGCCGAGCCCTGGTGACGAGTTCTGCGAATGAAAGCTTGCATTGAAGAAAAAGCTTCCATGCAATAGCTACGTGTCCCGGGGTTGGATCGCATCTGGACACGTTTGCACAACACCCCAAGCGCACGCCCCGATCCGCGTTTAACCACATCAGAGATAGCGGAACACCGTTGGCACATGGCCCGGAGATCGGCTTGAACACATGTAACGAAATACGTATAAAAGGCCGCATGGCGCAGATATTCGTCTCTGTTTTGCACGCACATCACCTGGATCAATCACGTCAGAGATAGGGAAACACCATGTGCACACAGCCTGGAGATGGGTTTCATGGAACGAAATAAGTATAAAATGCCGCATGGCGCAGATGTTCGTCTCTGCTTTGCACGCACATCACCTCATTTAGTCACATCTCACATCAGGGAGACTACACGGCCCGGAGATGGGTTCAACACACGTAACGACATGAGTGACAACATGTGACAACGAAAGCTTTCATACAAGAGCCATAAATCCTTGATGCATTGAGACTCTTTCCCTACTGCTTTCGCCATGGTGGCGTAGTCTGCGCCAATCTCAGACTTCATTCGAAGTCATCTTCGATGTTTATTGCTTACAACGATGTCTCATTTCGAAGCCTAGAAGACCGACCGTCTCCCATCGGTGGTGGTCGCGTCCTCCCATCGCAGCGAACGCCAAATGACCTTACAGTACCGGTCCAATGCGCTCAGTCGTTCGTGTTACAAACGAAATAGTTCGGGCATGTCAACAAAATCTCGAGTTCGCCTATAATCCTCCTGGCTCTCGCTGTGAGGGCCTCGAAAGGAAGGTCAAGTAGTAGCCAATTCGCATCTTCAGTAGGGTTTTCGAATCGACTACATCGACTGAGGCCAGCAGAGATGTTGGCTTTCGCAGGTACTGCTTCGAGGCGATGTGAGACACCGTGCATATTGTGCCAAGTGCAATGTGCCACTATGAGACACTTCAAATGTTTGCCGACACCCTTGTTCACGGCGTGTCGCGATGCCTCGCTGTCGCAGCACTGGATATAGAAATCGCCGAGCCATGGCTCGAAGATCATGGGCGCCAGGAGTCGGTAGGTAGTCGCCCTTGCAAGTTGAAAGTGAGCTGCTCGCTGTTCGTCACCTTGGTGGAAACAGACCGCAGCCCATCCGTTCTCAATATTGATCGTGTCACGGGAATCCCAGCTGGGTAGATCTTCATCGCCTGGGCGGTAGATCTTGGTGCCGAGTCGAAAGTATGCATCGGTGTAAAACACACTGATGTGGTTGGTGTGCGGGGTATGGTCAGCGGTTGACAATGTTAAATCATGTTTCGGTGCGCTAGCAGAGAGGACCGTGTGGGTTTATCCAACCGACCAGTGTTCGATAATGCTTTCAGCGGCCCCCTCCCAACTTTGCCGAACAATCTGCCGGTGAGCAAGTTGCACTCCAGATCTGCTGGCACATGTTCTTGACTCGGTTTCGGCAGGGGGTCAAGAAAAGGTTCACCGGGTCGGATGAAATGATAACCCCTTGGATTCGTTGTTGTATATCGGGCGGCTGTCGTTTGCTCGGTCTCATGGGTTGTGCTCCTCGAAGGCGTCGAAGCTCCCGTATAAGGGATAGAGAGTGTCCTCCATCGACCCGTTGTCGTCGACGTAGAGCAGCGCTGGTGTCAAAACCAGAATCCTACTGCATGCCACCAAGACATCGCCGAACTGGTTGTACGACCATACACTCGCAGCTGGCCCGAACCCCTGTGGCAGACTCTCTCTCTTCGCAAAGCACATGAAAGCAACATTCGCTCTCTCCCATCACGAAGTCTCAGCCTGTCTTGACCCCGGGTACCTATTTCTTCTGGCCCCACCCCCACTCTCCCAACATACGTGCCGGAAATAGCAGCAGGCAGAGTCACCCCCCCACCCAGGCACGATTACGAGGGGGTCCTCATGGCCCCACAGTGTGGGGCCGTCGGGAGTGAGTAGCAGCACAAAGGCCTGTCGTGCATCGTCGAGAGGAAGTTGCCGGTGTGCACCATCGTGGTCGTGTCCCCACACCCACAGCTTTTCGGAAGGTTTGTTCTCGAGGAACGCAAGTCGCAAGGATACGAAGTGGTCCGGTGTGTGAGGAAAGCGGATTGGTCGTGCATGATGCTAGTGGCGTTGTCCACTTCGTCTCCAATCGTCTCCACGGTGGGTCTTGGACTTTCCGTCCCTACCGGTCTGTTCGATGCTGAAGGCCACAGCGATGAACGGGCCGTCGAGCGGTATCGGTAGTATCTTGCCATTGGTCGATGTTCATCTCGGAGGGCAAACTTTTCGGCACGGCCACCGCTCGGAGGCCGCAAACGGGCCGTTCATGCGACCTGGTTTGACTTCCTGTTAAAGAACAGGTTTAAGTAAGGTTCCTGCACTTGGACACTGCGGCTCACTTTTCCTGCTCACCGCTGGGGCATGTGCTGTCTCTGAGCCTGAACGTCACAGACGTTCCCAAGCTGTTCCTGAGCAGTAACACACTGCACGAGCTGCACTACTGTTCCTGGCAGAATGCTTAGCACCCCGCCTTCGGAGCTAGCGAAAAGTTCACAACTGAGGTGACTCCGACATCACGGTTTCTTTCAAACAGTACGCACGCTGCAGTGTTCCTTTGCCGAAAAGCAAAAACTGTTCCTGATCGCAAACGTTGCCGTTCACTCGCAGTTTTCTCCAAGACTGCTTCCTGTACAAAACAAAACGACTGTCAAGGTTCCTGACCTACTTGGATCATCACCCTGGTACTGCAGAAACAAAAAAGGTTTTACTACCACGGGTCCTGCAAGCTGCTTTCACTCTCCTTGGCCGACTGGCCTCACTGGAAGTGCCTGATGCTGTCCTCGACTTTTCCTTCGCTTTCGTCACCGTCACTGACCACAACGCCGTCTTCCTCACTTCCTTTCTTTCCTTTTCCTTTGCCTTTCTTGTCTGCTTCGTTCCTTGCCCACTCTTCAAGCATCTTTGCCTGCGCGATGCACTTTTCCTTGCCCTTGGGGTCCTTCTGCTGCTTCTTCCAACCGTGCTCACCGTCCTTGTCACTGAAATAGTACCAGCAGTGGTTTCTGCCACTCCAATTCCACTCGAGCTTCCTCTTCTGGAACTCGTAGACGGCAAACCAAGTTCCTGCTTCCTTGCCTTTGCCTTCTCCTTTGATGAAGAGCTCCTCTCTCCACGGTCCCCTCATCTTCTTTTCCTTGTCACTTTCGTTCTCTGACTCCTCTGCTGCTGCTGCTGTTCCTGTTTCCTCTGGCTCTTCTGACGCTGCTGTTGATCCTGCTGCCTGTGATCCTCTGCTGTCAACCTCTTGCTGCAGCTGCTGAATCCTTGCTTTGTCTTCCTTCCTTTCTCTCAGCACCTCCTCCATCATCTTGTCCAAGTTCCCGAGTCTTTCCTTGTCGATCGGGATCCTCCGACGCTGCCGATGCTGCTGCTGCTTCTGCCTTTTCCTTGTCTGCTTGCCTCTTTGCTGCAAACACTGCTGCGTCCTTCTCTCTTTCCTTCTGTGCCTCTTTAACTTTCTTCTCCCTTTCCTTCTCGCGCTTCCTCTCTGCTGCGTCTGCTTCTGCAGCGGCTTCTGCTTCCTTCTTCTTCCTTTTCTCTTCTGCTGCCACTGCTTGTGCTTTGTCTCGCATTTCCTATTCTTCGGCTGGTTCTTCTAGCTTCCTTCTGGCAAACTCTTTCAACTCTTCCTCCTTCAACTCTTTCTTCTTTCTTCTCCGCAGCTTGCCTATCCATCTCTTCCCAGTACTTCTTGTCTTCTTCGTCACGGGGAACATACCTGTGGCTGCTGCTCGTTCCTGTGCGCCTGGTCTTCTTTCCTCCTTTGGTGTCGTCCTTGCCTTTCCCTTTCTCGCGCTTGTTCGCGTGGTAGTATGGCGAGCCATGTCTTCGTCTTTGTAGCGCAGTGTTCCTTCCAAATCGATCCATTCTCCGTGTAATTCTTCGAGTAGTCACGAAGATTCTCGAACCCTTCGAGTTATTTTTCCTTTTCCTTCTGTTCTTTCCTGAATCTTCCTGTTCACTTCCTTAATATTCCTCAGTCTTTCCTTCCCCTGCTCTTCCTTTGTCATTCCTGCTCTTGGTGTGGCTTCTTTTCTCCTTTCCTCCTCTTTTCCGTCACCTTCTTCTTCCTTCCATGGTCCTTGGCAGCTTTGCGTGTAACACTCGTTCTCGTTCTCGGCAAAGTCCTCGGCTTCTTGCTCATCTCCTGCATCCTGTCGGACAAACCCGTGTCCTAAAACTCTTCTTCTGTTCCGTTTTCTTCCTTTGCCTTCCTTTCGAAATTGTAGACTGTAGGTGAAGTAGTCCGTGATGTAGTTCCTTTTCACGAAGATGCCCTTCACGACGATGTTCTGCTTCTTCCTTCCTTGCTCTTCTGTCTTCCTCCTTGGCTCTCCATGGCTCTTGTCCTTGTCTCTAATTAGGACTATTCCTAACAGCATCCTACAGCACAGTTCCTAGACCTAAGGATGCGTGTTGCTCCTGGATGACCTGCTTCAGCTTCATCTTTGTTCCTTCGTTGTCGGTTTTCAGGTTTGTTGTTCCGTACTGCAACTGGGTGCTCATGTAAATGTAAGTAACACCTTCGCACAAATGCTCCAGACCTTTTCCTGTAGATGCAGTAGGGATGCAGACTGTGTCCGTGCTCCAAGAATCGATGCACACAAGACTGACTGCACTGGGGCTTCATCATGACTTGTTCCTGCGAATATAGAACGCTGGTCTCGATGATCGCTCCTTCTCAGGGTTTGCTCTAGGATGAGGCGACTCTTTACAAGCAACACCCCCTACCAAGAAGCATACGGCAAATGCGTAAGGTTGTGCACTGCAACTTCGTCAGGTTTAGGCTTCTTTTGGTCCTTGAGAGGTTCTGCCACTACGTGCTCGTGGAACTTCTTTTGGGCTGCGCT